ATCATCACTGAATTATTACACAACTGCTTGGCCAACGTAATTCCGTCGATCCACCAACATCTTGGGTCACAACAATACCGTATGGTAGATGGTTACCAATGTTCTGATAAAATACTGCCGCCATCTTCATCAACCCTGAAGAAAGACACAGTATATCTCCAAAACACTGGTAAGCATCTACCAGACTAGTGACTACCCAGAAGACTGAAATCTAAATATATTCATCTGCAGAAACCTCAGATCTCATAAATGATGCATCTACTTTAGCCATGGCTGTTCTCTTTCATTTACTAATATAATATAACATGGGACGCATCCAAATGTCATATTGTCCAGAGAGAATAAAATGTCAAGTACGTGTGCCCTGACAGTACTGAATGAATGAATGAATGTATAAGGGGTGGGCCTTTTCGGCCCTTGCACCACGACCTACAGTGATCTATTGTGCTTCCCTTTTTGATTATCCCCTCAGCAATCCTGCGCTTCGAATGAAGCACAGGATTTTATATGTGGGGGCCTCAAAATAGTCACTTGGTTCCATAAAGTATTGACCCAAGTGCCCTGACAGTAAATGGTGGTTATGCTTTTCTGAAGGATATTACTTTAATAGTTTCATTCTTTGCACTCCCTCCCAAACCATATCAGTGGCATGGTATTGCTCAAAAAGGTTTGCTATCAGCACTCCTGTTATTTCAGGATCACATACCTTTCCAGGGAGGGGGAAGAAGAAAAGGAAAGTAGTATTCAGGCAAATTAACTAACTCCATGGAGCTAAGCTCACCTTGAGAAGCTGCCAGTTGTGCACCTAATCAAGTATTTACCAACATTTTATGGAACACAAAAATTCATCACTATGTCCACAAGATCCCTCTATTGGTCCCTATCCTATTTCAGGCAAATAACAGTGTTCAAAATTATGTTATAATTACAGACCTTTTCATAGTACTTTAGAATTTTTTAACCATATATTCTTTTGTGATGACCAATGATAGCCCACAAGGCTTTTTATATTTCTGTCATTTACTTTAAGAAAAGGGAGATTTATACATTTGTTGCATGAAGGATTGGACATACGCTGCAAAAACATTTCTGAGAAATTGTTTTATTATTTAAACACACATGATAGTATACTATTCAATACTTATACTTCTTTTTGTAGTCTCTGTTAATAATTGTGTCAGCATGATTCAGTATCACTGTGGTTAGAATTTTGTTATTTTCCGTGAGCTAAGAAGGAACATTGAAAAACCAACAAAATGGTTGTGGCCTTATATATTATGAGATTTAAGGATGAAGACATATTGATAGTTTCTGATTAGTTAATTATTGGTCATGCAATTTAAGATATGTGGCTTTTGTAGAAAAGTTGTGTAGAATCATCATTACAACCCATTTATATAGAGTATTCAGGCCAAATGTACAGGTTAGCCAGAGTGAAATTTTACTCATATGTTAAAACCTAACATGATGTTAGAGTGCCATCACAAAAACATGACTTATAATGTGGATAATATCAGAAACATAAGGTAAGGAATCTTGCATTTTCATTATCCAGATTTTCTTATAAGAACATATGAATCTGATACATATGTGCAGTCACTTCTGCTACATCTGTATGAAAAAGTATTTTAACTCTTGAAGGCACCTAGCATTATAAGAGAACAAAACTAATTAGCACTGTGTAAGAAAGCTCAAAGTTTCAGCAACACTTATGCAGAATCCACCATTGGACATGACAATACTATTCGTCTCCCATCCTCACAACCGGTCTCCTTGCAGGTCACCTTAATGTTATTCTCCCATCCCTTTAGCCTTCCAAGTGGACATGCACAAAAAGGCTGTCTCATTAAAATCCTGTATACATGCATTGTCTCTCCCATAACAACCACATGCCCACATCAGTAAAATTGAAATTCAAATCCAGTTCTTAACATACTAAAATGCAGCGTTAAATTTGCCAGATTACATCAAAATCCAGTGCATTCAATGGCACTGGAAAGGTTTAGTTTCTTTACTCTTGCTCAAGAATTTATGTACAAATTTAAACCCACATATAATACATTGGATTTGAGGTTCTCACAGCAGCAGTTACAAAGAGCGCTATCTTCTAAGCTATAATTCCATGTAGTCTGTTGACAGTCAACTGATATTTTGGAGGAACATGTCACCTCCAACTTTAGGGTCAAAGAATACTTTTGATTAGAAACCTGATTTCACGCTGGTTTCACGCTGGTTTCTTGCTTGGCTTATTCTTTGACTTTGAAGATGGAGGTGGCATGTTCCTCTGAAATGCCGGTTGACTTTCAATGGACTACATGGCATTATATTCCAGAATATAGTACTCTTCATTATAATATAAAATGAATTTTTAAACTATGTAACTTCAGTATGGATTATGCATTAATAAGATTGGTCTTTAATGATGATATTTAAGTGGAAACTTTTAGTATTTAATAAAGATTATGCAATATTCATGCAATTTACTGTGACCGATGAACATAATGAATGTTTCTGAAGTTTTTCAATGTTCCAATTAGAATGTACCAAGAAATTCATTTTAAGAGTTATTTTGTGAAAATGACTGTAGAACATTTGTATTTGTATCTTAGTTGTAGTTTTGTGGATTAATTCTCAGAGTCATAAAATAAAATTGACTCATCTTCAACGTTGATACGCAGAACAGAATGCAGGATTTCGTACTCCACCATCATTAGCTCTGACTCTGCTTTATATGATTTGGTAAAGTCTTTTGTGTTTAATATTGAAATTACTTTTTGTTAAAATTCTGTATATTTTACAACTGGGGGTCTTTAGTCATGAGAGCAGTACCATATAGTATAGTTTTAATGACCAAGAGAAAATATGACATGTTGTACGCATAATGTAATTCCCTCAGTCCAAACTAGGGCCATGGTCATTTGCATAAATGTCTGCAGCTCTAGGAGACAAAGATTTTAATATCAGAAAACTCATTCCCGCATAATGTGACCTTAAAAAATATTGGAAGCAGATACTAAGGATATTGCTGAGATTCAAATTTGATGTTGAATTATGCATTAATATTTCTTGTTGCCTAGGCTCTATGGTATAAATCGATTATGAACCTATTTTGCTTTTTAATCCATTTAAGCCTAAAATTCATATAAATAATATTTATAAATTCAGTTCATACATCTTATGAAACACAGTACAGTGGAGCCTCGCTTAACGAGCATAAGTTGTTCCAAAATCTTACTTGTAATGCGAAACACTCATTAAGCGAAACAATTTTTCCCATATAAATTAATGTAAAATACAATAATGCATTCCATGCCAAAAAAATAATAAAAAAATTTTATGTATAACGTTTATTCAAAGAAAGTTATATATATACTTTGTTAAGGATCGTGAATCATCTTCATCTTTTCCTCTATGCGGAATGAACCAACCTGGAATGCGAATTCGATTTGCAGAAAACAAAAATACAAAAATCGAAATGGTTTATTATTTATGATACATATCTAATTCTTTTTTACTAGAAAGCTGTCTAGAGACATTTGTTTTTGCCGACCCTTCAAAATTTGGCGAAAATGCGATACAGCATTATCATTAAATAAATTTGTAAATTTTTTCGTTTATCCATATGAGGAGCAGCCTTTCAACATCGTTGAGAATACGTAACTGTTGCATAGATATTCTTGTCACTCCCTTTGAAGCATCTGTCTCCTTAATCTTGCCCTTGTTCTTGAGGATAGTGCAAATCACTGATGAAGACCGATTGTATGTGCATGCTAGATCACCCACGCTCAAACCTTGTTCTCGCTTTTCAATATTTTACGTTTCATTTCTACGGTTATTTTTATTCTCTTATGGCTGTCTCTTTGCGGCTTTTTCTTTGGGGCATTTTTGCAAGCATTATTAAACTTTGCGCAAAAAAAATCAAAATATATCTGAACACAAGTTTGGAAAAATGTGTGATCACAAGCGACACTAAGATGCTAGCGGAACGAGTGCTAAACACAGACTGATGTAGCAAGCGCACAATCTGGGACTTCCCCTCTCATCACTCATTATGTGAAACGTCGCTGTTAAGCAAGTCACATTTTTACAATTTGTTTTGCTCGTTATGCAAATTACTTGTTATGAGAGGTGCTCGTTAAGCGAGGTTCAACTGTATGTCTCTATATCTGTCAGCCAATGCTAGTCTCGGATTTTTTCATTTGTTTGTTTTTTCTAAAGTCTATTTAATGATGCTATCAGTAGCTCATATTACCTAGCATGAAATAACTGGATGATCATGGGTAATGAATTGAAAAGAATATGGCAGGAGATGGACATGGCCTAATTTAAGGTACTGTCCTGGTATTTGCCTGGAGCACTCGGCAGCATAGTTGGTTAAGGCATTATGTAACAAGCCAGAAAGTCATGGGTTTTGATTCCCAATGAGGTAATTGTATTTTTCAATTTATCTAATCCTTTCAGCCATATTATGGGGTTGACTCAGCCTCTAACAGAAATGAGTACCAGGGATATTCTTGGGGGTAAAGGGCAGATGACGCATAAGGCTGACAACCTTACCGCCATCTATGAGCTGATTATCTGGAAAATGTGGGACCCTCAACATCTCACAACCCTATGGGCCTCCACAGCCTGTTACAGGGATACCTTTACTTTTTACTTTTACTTACTCTGCACTGCTGAGTAGGATTTTTTAATTTACATACTGGAGTATCTTTATTACTAATTACAACATATTTGTAACAGCAAATATTAACTTCAAGACCAGCCTTGCATGTAGATCACAACACATTTGGAAATCATGGGGTTTCAAAGTTGAAGTTCATTATTTCACATATCTTTGTTAGAAAGCATCATATATCAGCCAGCATGCATCAAGCATATCATACATGAAAATAATCTTCTGGACATTTTTATAGCAGATTATGCAAATGGCCATACTACAGAAATTAGTACTATATGTAGAGAAAATGCTGTGTGCTCCTGGGTTGTTCTACTTTCAGGGAGCACAAGATTCAGCAATTGAAGCGAATGGGAGTTGGCTCTGGAAGCGAGGAGGATGCCACTCATTCAGGTGAGAAACTTTCCAGTGCTTAAAGGTTTTATAGCATGACCATAGAGCAATCCAAATAATTAATACCTCAGTTTCAACACAAGAAGTCATCTTGATCAGTACATGGACCATAAAGGTGACTCCAAACAGTCTCACAGTGTAAAAAATGCAGTAATATTGTTATATTATTAAATAATATGGTATTATTTTGCTACATTCATCAGAGTCTTCAGTTAAAATATAATTCCTTGGGGTCAGTTAGAATCCTTTGAAGGACCAAATCTCATCATACAGGATATTTCCATAGATTTCTATCAAAATATATCAACATGGAAACACAGTTCTAACATTTTCTATATTAACAAAATTTACTTCCAAACTAGAATGTTGACAGTTAATCATAAAGTGGTACTGTACCTGCAAGTTGTAATTTGCAGCTTCTATACCTGCCTGTGAATTTATTCTTCTTACCTATATACTACTCTTAAATAATGGTATAGGATTAATTTTTTTTTTGCTCCTCTTCTGTGGTTTTCCCATTTCCATGTGCCATTACTGATGATCATTTGAATCTAGTACCTTCTGATTTCTTTCATATCTTTCTGTTCTGTTATCGATGTTGTCCTCCAATATTCTTTCAGTCCACTACAGTCTTCATTTTTGTCTGTATGTCCATACTAATGTAACATTTTAATTCATGATTGCAGAAGCAACATAAGTCACATTTTTGTCAAAATATAGTTGTTAGCTATAATGTTTTCCTTGAAGGTTGTTACACACTGTGTGCAGAAACCATATAAGTCCCATTATTCTGTGCTGTGTTAGTACACTGTGGGATTGCTGACTGAACTGAAACAACACAAGTCAGTTACTTGTTCTGTTTCTGCTGTCAGCTTGAGTTTACAGATATGTAAAGTACAAAGAAGTCATTATATTTCTTTATCACTGCTCATTTATTTCTTGTGCTAGTAATTTTTTTTTTTTGCTAAACCTGAAGTAATACATGTTATCTAATGCAACAGCTAATCTTCCCATTTAATTATATTAATAATTTATTTGGAAGTATAGTTCAAAATGAGATATTAGGTGATAATAATAAAGAAAATGAGTAGTTCACATGAAAAAGAGGCAAGGAAGGAAACATGAACAGGTACAAGGAGACTGTGGTATGTAAATCTAATTGCAAAGTAGAGAAATTTAGCATAAATAAAGCAAAGTATCATATACACAGATATTCTCCAACTTACACTATAATAGCATTCCCAAGAATAACTGTACAAAAATGAGCATGAATATTTTAAGTTATGTGATTCTGAGTGATTGCATAATTGGAAATTTTGCTACTAGTTCTAGCTGCTGCTTTGTTTTCTCTGCCTTCAATTTTCGTTGAAAAAGATGCAGGTCAAATAAATTTAATACCATTCATTTTTGCCAGTAATATAAATTTTTGGCTTTTGTTGTAGGCAAATAATTTCATTAATTTATTAGTCTTCACTTAAAATTGAAATTAAAACTATCATTTCACATTGTCTTAAAGTGAAATTCACATACGTAAGTCTGCAGATAGCTGTACTCTGAATTTTGATGTATTTGATGAAACCTACTCTTTGACTTACACTTTATACACACTAAGATTCACTTATTTTGATTAATACCTTCTTCATGTGATACATAGGTTAACTATTGCAGTGATGTTACTTCTCTATTGTAGGGTATACTTAAATGTGAAGTTAGAAGGATAAATTCAATCTTTGTATACTTGATAGTCTCCCTGCACAGTGAGATGTCCCACGCTCATGTAATATATAAGTTGTATGAATTATGTTAGTGTCTACTATTGTCTACATAAATCATAATATAAAGTAAGATACTTAAGACATTTAGGTATTGACATGACTGAACTTGACATTACTGAGTAAATTCTTATTTATTGATGTTCTTAATATAAGTTTATTATGTTAAATGAAGATTTACAAAGTGAAAAATGTTTCCAATTTAAGAAAGGAGACAGTATCCGAACAGTTCTACCTTGGATTTGTGGAGAAAATTAAAATTTTATGTAGTGGTTGAGGCACTATGCTACAAGCCGAAAGGTCGTGGGTTCAAGTCCCAATGAGGTCATTGATTTTTTTTTTCAGTTGACCTAACCCTTCCAGCCGCACTATGGCCCTGGGGTCAACTCAGCCTCTAACAGAAATGAGTATCAGGAATTAATTAAATAATTTTCCTGGAGAGTAAAGCGCAGCCGGCTCGTAAGGCAAACAACCTTACCGCCATCTTTGAGCTGATTGTCTAGATCAGGGTCTCCAAACTTTTCGAACCGCAGGCCACATTCGGTAATTCAGCGCTTTCAACGGGCCGGATAAAATGAGAAATTAATAGCTCTAGGTATATGAGTTTTATTGGAAGCACAGAATTTCATAAACTAAATACAAAGTACGTGAGAATAAATAATCATATATTAATGACAACAGACAGTAGCAGCAAATGCTCATATGTATTTTGATCACAAATTATAATAAAACAATTAATGTGAATGATGGAACTCTTTTCGCATTCTTAAAATCTGATTAAATTGAGGTTCAAATTTTGAAACGCTAATCACAAGTAGCCACTTTAAATGTTCATCGGATAAATTTGCCCTGTATTTCGACTTTATGTACTTCATCTGGGAAAAAGTTTGTTCACACAGATATGTCGTCCCAAAAATGGAGATAAATTTACAAGCAAATTTCTTTAAATTTGGGAATTGCTCAGAGTTCAGAAATTTATAAAATTCAATCAAATTTCCTTCCTTGTATTTGTCTTTAATATGATAATTTTCCTGAAGTTCAATCATTTCCATTTGAATTTGACTGCAGTATCACAGTCAAGCGGATTTTGAAACAATCTAATTTCCTGAGCACTGGAATCCAAATCAGGAATTCGCTTCTGAAATTGTTCCTTCAAATCTGAAATGACTAAATTTGCAAACGAGGAAGGAAATTCTGCTTCATTCTTTTTATGCAACTCTGCACAGTATAGCATATGAACAAAGTTACAATTTTTCACTTGGCTTTCCAGAAGTATCAGCTTTGCTCTGAATGCCTTGATAAGTGCAAATAAATCACAGACTAAGTTATTTTCACCCTGCAAGTTTAAATTCAAATGGTTCATATGGTTCACCATATCAGCAAAAAATGCTAATTTCCAAAGCCCATCGGTATCTGATAAAAGTGGTTCATGATGGTTTTTCTCGGTAAGAAATATATCAGTTTCATTCGTGAGCTGAAAGAAGTGCGAAAGAACCTTTCCACAGCTAAGCCACCGAACTGCAATATATGTCAGGTCAGTAAGCTTGGAATCACATTTACCAGTACTCATTGGAAAATTAGTTCAATTGGCGCATTTCTGCACAATTCTTTCGCGGGCTGGATAAAATCACATCATGGGCCGTATGTGGCCCACGGGCTTTAGTTTGGAGACCCTAGGTCTAGATAATGTGGGACCCTCAACGTCTCAGAACCCTATGGGCCTTCACGGCCTGTTACAGGGAGAGCTTTACTTACTTTTAGGACATACATTAGATTTATTAGCAGATATCTTAAGTTTTTAATATTGTTTTCCTAAACACAGGAAGTTCTTATGTGTCTGTGGGATATTGCTACATGAAATTAGGTGACAAATAAATAAAAAAATGTCATTTATTTTCGTGAAGTGGAAGTTATTAATAAAACTCTATATGAAGAGTAATGTCATGACTAGGCCATACGCTTAAAAATAAGTACACAAAATTCTGCATATTTATGAAAATTATATGAGAATTAGACATGGAGATGTTTTGAGCTTATTGATCAGACACAAGTATTGAGAGAAAAGTAATTTAAGACTTCAATATATTATTTGTAAGAAAAGGGGTGTATACAGTTGCAAAAGTATCTTGACAATCTACATTATAATGCTTTCATTTCTAATAATTAATATTTGCAGTATCACACAATTCGTTGGTGAATTCATGTCATTCTCATGTTTAGGAGAGGAGGAAACAGTTTCATTCATCGACCTCCCACCTAATAACTTATCAAAGCTTCCTGAGAAGGGAATTTTAAAGAAATCAGGGCCATATGGAACTGTGATGGGAGATGTGTGCAAGGAGAAATGGTCAGAAGACTCACAATCAGATAACCAGGAAATCCTCTCCCAGTCTGACAACAATATGGGCCCAGACATGATGGGAGGTGGGGGAGGAGGAGCAATTTCAGAGGTAGAACGAACGCTCAAGAGCCTCAATGGCTACCATGAAGATATTTTAGAAGCATTGCGGAATGCTGCATCACATAGAGGGGCTGCCACACCTTCTGGTAGCAGTAGTCTGCTCAGTGAAGAGATCCTTCGTAAATCTTTAGGTATGTTCTAATTTATCTATTATTTGGTCCGCACATGTAATGGAATATTATCTTGAAATAAGTAATGACAGGTTTTTCCAGCCTACTCTCTGTGGTCATTTTCATACTCTCATGTGACTCTACATTAGTTGATCAGTGTCAGTGGCATTTTTAAGTAATCCAGAAACCATCCTTTCCTTCATTCAGGATACCACTTATATAGACTAAATGGAAATATGCACTTTCATTTGTCTTGAACTGGCCATATGCAAGCTTTCAGAATTCTTACAATTTATACTGTACTTACAATTGGACATCATTATAGAGCACTTCATCCCCATCACACTTGAGCCATACTGCCCATGATTTCTTAAACCTTTAATTGACAATATATCTTTATTTTCGTCTATCAGAAGTTGCACTCATACAGCAGTTTTCTGTTAATAAAATCTATTTTCCTAGATGCATCTTATGACAATGTAGATTACAGAGAATATGTAAAATTTCTATAAATTTGATAACATGATAGAGCAGGAACTTTAATTGTGCATGTGTCCAGTGATGCTCACAGGCAGGCTGGAAATAAACATCTGTCAAACTGGATAGCACACACTGTTCTGATTTCTCTCTTCACTAGTAAAAATGATTTTGTTTTTTTCAATTAAAATGTTCATTGTGCTCTTTCTTATGGATATCTATATAATTATAATTGTATCTGCAGTAGAACCTCAGTCAATTTCATTCATGAATCAGGATGACTTCTGTAATAGAACAAGACTACTGCAGTAACATCAGTGGTTGAAATTCATTGTGTCTTGTTCTGGATGTCTCCATTTGAGATGTTACCAATGGAATTTACTGAAGTAATTAAGAGAAAAGATCATCTGAGACACTTCTAGTGCTAAAGATGCCCTTCACCTACTCCTCACAATATTGTTGTTCGTGAGGGTTGTGGGGGTAAAGCTTCACACCTTCCATATTTGTGTTTGGTTGAAGGTTGGTTGTCAGGTTTATGCTCTGACCTCTTTACCCCAGTCCCAGTACCCATTGGGTAGGAGGGTGGAACTGTCCCAGAGCCAGTCAGGACACATCGGTGAAGAGAAGGTTCCAGCACCTGCCACAGTTCAAATCTCACTCAACCAGTGTCTAGTCAACAACCTTGCTGACCAAGTTATCTTGGCCTGTTGTTTGTGTTACCATAGATATAATGCAGGCTGTGACAAAAGCTAGTAAGTTTTCTGACAGAAGTTTGCAGAACATCAATAAACAGCCCTTTGAAATGGTGTTATTTTCACTGAACTCTCTCACTCAGTTCCAAAGTTTTTCCTGTAAGAAACTTGATAAATATCATTGAAGCACTATATAGATAAGCCAGTCATGATATTTAAGCAGCCCATGTTCATTTTTTTATATTCTTTACAGCTGAGTGCAGTAGTGGTGGTAGCTACAGTGATTACAAACGCTCTGGAAGTCAAGAGAAAGTGTGTGACGGTCCACAGACACACACAGTTCTGGTAGAAGGGACAGGGTCATTACTTCATCATCATGGTGCTCAGCAAGAGGAAGATGAAGATGATGAGGTACCTCCATCGTGTGGCCCAATTCGTATCCGCAACTTGGAAGATCTCATCCGTCAACTGGAACACCACTCGGCCCGCCACATGAGTCCAAGTGGCTCTGAAGACATTCGTATGTCTGAAACAGAAGCAGATAGGCATTATCGTTTAGAATCAGCAGCCTGCAGCGAACCGCAGAGGTGAGTATACTTGCATGCAATTGGCTGCAATGCTTCATATGAAGATCAGTCTAGTTTAAGTATTATTTGCTTTGTTAAACGTAAGTTACATCTGAATCAGATACTGTCTCTAAGTGTTTAAAGAAGGTAATGTACAATCATCACAAGTAACAAGAGCATTGGTTCTTTAACTATATGAGCCTAGTTTTATCTTCATATTATGCAATCTGAATTTATAACACACAAAGCTGAGCTCATTTCCTTGGAGCTTTCTCCATCCTTCCTTTTAGAAACCTGTATTTTCACCTTGTTGTTGACACTAGTGCCAAATAAATTTGAGAATAGTACATAATTAATAAATATATGTCTCTCAGCAAGTGGATTTCCTCTTTTTCAACAGACCACCCATCAATTATATTGATTAATTAACCCTTTGACTCCAACTTAAGTATACCTTACTTACTGACTTGCCCCCTATGTCATTAATATCAGTAAGAGGTACTAACCTATGTAGCATCTCCATTAATCTTCCATGTTAGCATGTCTCTACTGTTTACTTGGGAATCTAATGATGTAGTTTTGTAGAGAAATCTTTGCTCTTTCTGTGGATATATCTACGAGTATAATATACCTATTTCATACATTCTTTGTTTATATTACTAATATATGTAATGGTCATGAGTAAAAAGAAAATTACAACAATTAGCAACAGCTAATACATAGGCTTACAGACAAAATACATTGCTTTAAAATTAGTACAGGAATGGATGCTTTGTTCTTGGCTAAGAGTATGCCCTAGTTTTAGGCTTCTAAGAGTGATAATATTTTGGCTTTCAGTGACTGCTTAGGCATTTATGTACCATCACATATTTTGCCTGCCATCTCAGGGTTCTTTGCAAGATCATTTACATGTAATTTCAATGTTCCTGATCAAATATTTACTGGTATATCAAAATATTTAGTAGTATTGTATTTCCATACTATAACTTGAACTTTGTGTTCATGTTGATTGTGTACATTTTAAATTTCCTTTCACCTGTAATTAAATGTCAGAGTAAGGAAAAAGTTTTTGACATCCTAAATGGCTCAGATAAATGCATAATTAGGGACAGTGGTGAGAATGACAGTAGTGAAGAAACTGATGAATATGAAGATGACATTACAGCTGCTGATGCTCTTGTAGATGAAGAGAAATTGTCATGAAGGAGAAAGGCCAAGGTCATTCTCCTGGCAACAGTGACTATAGCAACACTTTATTTGGAAGGCGTACATAATTATCATGGAGAACATAAATTATTTTCCGGTAATTATGTACCTCATTATCATGTGGAAAACATCCTAGAAACTGTGTTTGTGATTATGTGTCTTTTGAGTTAAGATTTAGTGAAATCATTGTGGAAACCATTTATTATGAAGCAGAATTTATGAATTGTAGAGGCATACTTCTTTTATTTAGATCCCTTATAAAGCAGTGGACACTAGTGTCAGAACATGGAATTTATGTTGTACATGATTTCTTTCTTTTAATGGGGATCACTCAGAAGCTCACTCTCCAGATATATTTTGCAAGAAAGAGAAATCTGTCAATTCCAAGCTATGGTGATCATACCGAGGACTAGGTTCAAACAAACAGTGAAAGTTTTACATTTATCAAATGAAAATGAAGACAAATTATGTAAGTTCTGCGAAATTCTGTAATTCAGTCCCCTGTAATTTCCAGAACTTGTTTCTCCTTGGATAGAACATTTCAGTGAACAAACCCCATACAGTGTGGAGAGAAATTTTTACTTCCAAATTTTACATCTAAAATCAGCTAAATATGACAAGAAAGTCTACTGAATTATACAAATCCAGTTCAGGATGTCTATGGTCTCTCAGTGGTGTGTACACGCAGAGGAAGATCTTTTCAGTTGTCTCACATTAACACATAAGATAAACAAAACATTATTTGTTCTTGTATATTTGGTGAAGCCCTTACTACAAGAAGGCCATGTAGACTGGCTGGGTAATCCTTACAACTCAACAGTTCTGACCAGGCTGCTAAACACAAGGGCATTGTTTTTGTTGAGGTTCAGAAAGTGGACAGAAACAGTGTTTCCAGAGCCACCAAAAATTCCAAATTGATAAAGGGAAACACAATTGCCCAGCACTCTGGGGCAGTGGCAGTGTGTAATAAAAGGAATGTAATAATGATTTATACTCATCAGGACACTGAAATGGAAACTGAGCAAAAGAGAGGGGAAGAGAAACAACCTCTATTTCAGTCATGAAATATATGTCGGTCGTACCGAAGGTCATGAGCAACTTTTTTTGCATGCAACATAGGAACAGCAGACGAAAGGGAGTATGGTGGTAAGTGGAACCAGATGTTGTGTTAACCTTGAGTGTCTTGTGACGTCAATAGCTTGCATCACGTGATCAGTATCACTCCTAACAAAATGGCCGACAACCATATGTCATTTAGCCAGCGTGCTGTCATCGAATTTCTTGTGAAAGAGGAAATCCCTGCTGCAGAAATTCGCCAGAGACTTCAGCATGCTTATGGAAGTGTGTGCGCATGGGTGCGGGCAGTGTTCAAAGATGGGTGAAACATTTTAAAGATGGGAACACCACCATCGAAGATGAGCCTCGGAGTGGTCGTCCTCGAACAGCCTCAACTGAACGCAACAAGGAAAGAGTGGATGAGATCATTCAAGATGACAGGCGTGTGACTGTGGACACAATAGCCCGAAAACTTGGAATAGGGCACAGTGCAGTACAGGGGATGATTGAAAGCTTGGGCTATAGGAAATTTTGTGCTCGTTGGGTCCCGTGGTTATTGACCAAAGACCACAAAGGTCAGCAAAAAGCCATCACCTCAGAACTACTGCAGAGATATCGACACGAAGGTGATGATTTTTTGCTTTGTATTGTGACAGGTGACGAAACCTGGTTTCACCATTTCGAGCCTGAAACGAAATGTCAGAGTATGGAATGGCACCATTTGCATTCTCCATCAAAAAAGAAGGCAAAGACAGTGCCATCAGCTGTGAAGGTTATGGGCACAGTCTTCTGGGATGCAGAGAGCTTTGTTCTGGCCGAATTCCTGGAGCCTCGGCAAACCATCAATGCTGCTAGTTATGTCCAGACGCTGTACAAGCTCCATTGTGCATTGCGCGATAAACGTCCGGGACAAAAGATCATCATCCTGCATGACGACGCTTGCCCCCACACCGCTCGCCTCACATTGAAAGCAATTGCAAAGATGGGGTGGGAAGTTCTTCCACACCCCTCCTATAGCCCTGATCTGGCACCCTCCGACAACCATTTTTTCCGGATTTGTGAAGGATCAGCTGCGTGGACAACGTTTTGAGACAAGGGAGGCAATTCAGAAAGCAGTGCGTCAGCGTCTTCGGATGGCTGGAATGGAATTTTACAGAAGGGGAATTTTCAAGCTCCCAGAACGCTGGGAGAAATGTGTACAAAGAGGTGGCGATTATGTGGAAAAATAAAGAAAGGTCTGTAGATTGATGTGGTGTATTTGGAGGGGCTTTTCAAACAGTATCAATATAAAGTACCTGGTTACCATGCAAAGTCCAAAAGCTGAAGCCACATACTTCAAGTAGCTAGTCACCATGCAACAGAAAATCATTACAAAATAAATGAATACGAGTTATGTGGCTGCAGAAAGTGGTGACCGTTTCTGTGGATATAGTGTCGAGAGAAAACCAAGACTAGCAAAATAATATCTAAACGTTTGTGATGATTGCTCATTATTCCAACTGACTCCAAGGCTGTTCGGACATCTCACACCAGCCTTCTACTCTTCTCATCACTGACTGACTAATGGCAGCTCCAGACTTCTCCCACTTATAACATTGAACAGCATAAAAACACAGATTCTCTTATATTTCAATCGTCTTCATGGGAACATGTTTGTTTTGAAAGCCCTTACTGAGCAAGGGATCCTGTATATTTGCTTATCTCATGGTCGTCGCCCAGCAATGGGTCAACATGCTAAACTGCTCCCTCTGTACCGCCATTTCTACTTTTCCAAGGGCTCTGTTTGTGATGCACATTATCGGTATCTTCTTCCTTCCCTGTGGCTCGGTTCTCATGGTGGTTAATTTCTGACTGCTCCTGCTGCTCCCTCCTTAAGGCTGCTCCTCCCAAAAGGCTCCCTAATGAGGTGCAAGCTGGTCCAGGTGTACCACCCTTTCTTCCTCCAGTCTGTTGCAGGCAGAAGTTCTGAGAATGGTCAATGCTCCTACATCCATTGCTCTTAGTCTGCTGTTAGTGGCTTCTTTCGTTTCGGAGGGGGCCGACCATTCCATAGTGTCCAGTCACTCACTTTCCGCAACCCGCTGGAAATCCAGACTGCTTGCTTCAGGACCTCCAACCCAAGAGTTTGTCTGAGGGCCTCATGTAATGTCTTCACACTTCCCAGACAGAGCTCCTGTCTCCTGCTTCATCCTCTGATGCTGCTGCCATTTGTCCTCTATTTCCTCAGATGTAGCTGCTGTCTTTGACCTCTGTTCCTTATGCCATTGATGACTATCAGTTTCAACCGATGTCTCTTCCCAAATGTCCGTTCTTTCTGGGTTCTTGGCACAGCCTTGTCCTTGACTTCTCCATGACAGTAGTGTCCCTTACGCCATGTGCAGGAATGGCACAACTGGTCATCCTGCAGGTGGCAGTCAACTTCTTCTGGGACCCACCTTCACCCTGAGTCCATTTCTTTGGATGATCATGAAGCATTACAACTAGATGCGAGCCCTCATGCCACTTCTTCAATGCTATGACTGTTTTCACCATGACCTCTTCTTTAGGGATTTCCTCATGCACCGCCTTGGACTCTGTTCATCTGGATTTGCCTCCAAATCCGTGACCTCCATCTTTTCTAAAGAGACCTCTATTGTCTCTAGCTGAGAGTCCAATCTGCCCATCATCCTTTTGTGATGGGCATTTAACTTGGCTTCCAGCCTTGCCATTATTTCGTCTTTTTTTTTTTTTTTTTTTGATTGGCGCCTGCCTTGACTTGG